TGACCCACTAACCACCAAACTGGACTTGGAGGGGGATGCCTGACTCCTGGGAGCCTTGCCAGGTCTTACCCTACTCACCCAAGATCCACTTTAAACAAACTCATAGGTTCAGGTCTAACATTTGCAAAGCACCTGTACTGGCTTAAACACGGTGCTGACCTATTCACAGGCAGGCTCCATGTGACCCTCAGAGCCAGCCTGTGAGGTGGACAAGCCCACTGCTCTTTGTGCAACTGCCCTCCCCTGACTCCAGTACTCACGAGTGGAACCTCCTATGTCCCGCACTTGGTGGGGGGGCCTGGCACACACAGATGCTTGATTAAACGTTTTGAGAGCTAAAAATAGGTTTTGGTTCATGGCTGAGAAGAGAGAATAATTAAGAAATTCTTAAAAAGCAGACTTCTTTTAAAGAGCAGTTTTAGACTCAGCAAAATTGAGAAAAAGGTAGAGATTTGTCATATACATACTACACTCACATGCACAGCCTCCTCTGTTACAGCATCCCCCCCAGGTGGTACACTTGTTACAGGTGATGACGCTGCACATGTCATCATCACCCAGAGTCCATGTTGGCACTCCGGTCACTCGGTGTTGTCCACTCTATGGCTTTGGACAGCAGCACAGTGACGTGTATTCACCACCATGGCATCATGCAGAGGAGTTTCACGGCCCTAAAAATCCTGTGTTCCACTTACTCATCCCTCTCTCCATCCCCCAACCACTGGCAACCACGAATCTTTTTACTTTTTTGTCTTTTCCAGATGTCAGAGTCGGAATCACACAGTATGTAGTCTTTTCAGATTGGCGTCCCTTTGTCGTATGCATTTAAGGCTCTTCTGTGTCTTTTCATGGCTTGGTAGCTTATTTCTTTTTAGTGCTGAATAGCATTCTGTTGTCTGAGAAAAGTATAGTTTTTGCCTCATAGAAGTGAAAAGCCCTTTCTAGATCCATGGGATTTAGCCTGATCATGGGAGCTGGGGACACCTTGGAACTGGTGGCACATTCCGAATTCACTGTCCCTGAAAAGATACAGAAATGGCTTTTTTTTTTCCTTAATGACAGTAGCAATGGCAGCCTGACTCATGGGTCTCCATAATAAAATCGCCCTTTGGTGCAATATGTACAATGCGGGCATGCAGGAATTGTGTGCGTCTGTCCCATGAACGAGCTTCATGAATAAGACATTTCATAAATGCTGACTTCAAATATAAGGGCGCTTGCTATTGATAGTGGACCTTCATGGTACTCCTTCTATGGGAAGGAGTTAAGCTCTGCGCTTAACACCTAGTTTATCCCAATAAACCCTTAGGTACATGCCTCACAAGGGCAGACTGTCAGCTAGCTGGAAAAATGCAAAGATCCTGCCTGCATAGACTCTCAGAGTTGGTGGTACCGTCCATGTGGGGCATTGATGTGCATAGCTGAAAGCAACAAATGAAAACTCGACCCACTAAACTTACACTTCAAGGGATGAGAGATGGAGCATTAACTAGAAGGGGTGCTCCTGGCTGGGACGTGGGTGGATGGAGGGGCGAGGGCGCCACCTACTGAGTTCACGCAGCCCTGCCTGTGCGCGGAGCCAGTGTGCAGCTTGAGTCCTCCATCTGCTGCCCCGTTCGCTCTGAGAACAAAACACGATGTGAAGTATGCTTAACACCACAACATACACCTATGGAAATAGCCCCCACAGCACGTCTTCATTGCAAAAGTCAGCAAGATCTTCAGACACTTAATGCCTTAAAATGTCCGTGGGATGTGGAGCTCTACTAAGAATGGGCTTTTTGCAACTTAGAATTATGGCTAAACTTTGTCATCAATTAAGTGAGAAAAGAAGGCGGTTGGCCATGTATTTCAAACCCAAGTCAAAACTAGGCCAGATTAAGCTTTTAGCTGATGTTATTTAAAATAAATGACTCAAAATCCTGAAAGTTTTTGTAACCTTACAAAATGCAGCTTGGACCTTTGTCCACCTAGCTCCATTACTCAGATTAATCACATTACTTCCTGACTGCTGGGGAAAAATATTGACCTCCAAATTCTTTAGACGTTTGAGAAAGGAAAGTGGGGTCTGAATATCTAAGGAAAACTTTCTATCATTTGTTTTGCAACAGCTGTCACTTAAAGCAAACACGTGATCGGCAACCAGAATCAATCTCGTTCCCTCCAGCATTCCTAGAAGTTCTGGGGTTATAAGAGGGGAAGGCTGGGACCTAACATTTTTGTAATTCCTGTTTGGTTTGTTAGTCGTTTCATAAGGGCCATTTTATCGTAGGTCCTGACCATCACCCTGTGAGCTTGCAAGGCCTGAGAAGGGTCTCTGCCCTCACCCCCTCTCCCTGCTGGACTCCATGGAGGAGGTTTTTGCTCCTTATGCCTTACAAGGTCACAAGACTGTGGCAAGATGCCCCGAAGTGAGTTTATGGCTTTGGAGCAATTACTGTAAAACTTTTTAGTAAAAACAAGCTTGAACCCCCATCAGGATCCAGGATGCACTTGCTCTGAGGTAAGTCAGTATCCCAGGGGTGGTGGTGTCTCCCTTATTCCATGGCCTTGGGAACAGCAGCCCCCCAACTGCATGGAGTGACTCTCAGACTCCACCCTCTTTGGGGGGCGGCTGGGACGAGCAAACAGAAGAACTCTGCCCCTTGGGTAACACAGTTCATCTCCATTGCCTTGTGGTCATACACAAGTAACTCTATAAACTAGCCAGACTGACTAACAGTATCCCTGATTCACAGAAGAGGAACCTGAGGTCAGAAAGAAGTGATCAGAGAGTAGCCAGAAACAGAGCCAGAGGAGGACCCAGGTCTAGTCCCACCCAGTCTCCCATCACACTGCTTCCCTCAAGGGCACGGTGAGCCAAAGCTCATCTCTTCCATGGTTGATCAAATTTCACGTATAAGAAAAAAAAAAGCAAATCTGTATTCATTTATCGAGTGTTCCTTCTTTTAAAGTAAAAGACAAAATGTGTCTTTAAATCCAAAATTCTCAGATCTTGATGACATCCCTAATTGACCTCAATGAGTTATTTTTTTGTTGGTCTGTGTCTTTTAGTTTCAGTTTAAAGGACACACTAAGAACAAAAATCCATATTGTTTATTCTTCTCCCCTCTTTTCCTTCCCCCACCCATAGCCTTGCCAATTTGTAAACAAATCAGACAAATCCCCAGTGGGCTGGAAACCTGTCCGTGGTTTGCTCCAGCTGGAAAGAATTGTGTTCCACCAAGATTTAGACCCCATTTATAATGGAAACCCTGACGGGCAGTGTTGTAATTATAGTCTTGCCATAATGAATGTATCTCTGTGGTCAAAGTTGTGGGTTTTTCCATGGTATTTTTCCATGGGAGATTTCCTCCCTCAGAGATGTTAACTTAAAATCTGGATTATTGCTCTGACTTCAGAGCAGGACCTCTTCTGGCATTGGTTTAGCTTAAAGTTGACCGTTACATTGGCTGCGGTAGTCGTGATTAGCGAGGGGGACATTAGTCATACTGATCTTCGCAAGATTGATGAGGGACAGGGGTTTGGTGGTGGAGGGGCTTACTTCAGGAAACGCACATGGTCTCCCAGCTATAGCCAAGGCGTGTTTCCTCTGCTCCCTGACTGTGCTGTGACATAAAGTAGAAGACGAGCAGGGCGGACAGGTATCAGGGTCACCAGCTGTCCCAACTGGCCTGGGACTATCCAGTTTTAGCCCTAAAATCTCACATCCCAGGAAACCCCTAGTCTTTGGTTGACCAGGATAGTTAGTCATCTTAAAAAGTATGAAAAATTGAAAATCAAATTTGGGAGGACAGAAAAGTAACAGACTATTTTACACTGAACAACCAGAGTGAGTTTTAACGAAAAGTCTTTGTGGTGCTTAAAAAACCCGAATGTTGTCAGGCTTTGCTTGAGAATTGACTCAGGGAAGGACTCAAAAGGGATGGAGAAATCTCACACTCGGCACAGCAGAATATAACTGGAGGAACCGAAGACACTGCTGCTCACTTTGCCTAGCAGTTTCTTAGGCTGATCTGTCCGTGGGTCTCTGGAGGCGGGGATAGAAAAGGCAGTTCTTGGTGTGCAGGTCAGCTGGAAGGTGGCTGCCAGGGCCCCTCTCCTCCAGGCCTGTGCTGCAGGCCCTTAACTGCTCAGCAAACTGGGAGAGGATGTGGGAGAGGAGCAGCTCGGGGGGCTGATGTGGGAGCCGGGTTTCCCATCTGGGTCCCCACACAGCTGTTCCAGGGCCGGCTCTCTGGGTCTCCTCTGGGTTCACTCTGAGGACTGTGAAGACCTCTGACTTTTAGGAACTGGTAGGCTGACTGGGGCAGGGAGAAAGGAAGGAGTATGGAATAAAAACTTAGAAAAAGTGGCCAACACAAGACCCCAAAACATGAGTCAGGGAGCCCTGTGACACCTCTGCACAGGGGGTGAGGAAATGTGTGTCAGATCTCTTCTTGACTTGTAAAACCAGATGCCTTAGGGCATGGATGTTACACCCGTCTTTGGAGTTATAAATGCTGAGACTTCAGGAGGAGAATTGCATCTGTCTCTGGATTTGTAATTTCAGTAAATCCCTTTGGCAAATGTGTGTTAACTCTTTCTGCTGTTGTAGATTTGACAGCTGTGAAGTCCAGGACTGTGAGATGGAGAACAGGACAGGAGGGAAGGGGGGACTTCCACCTGCTGGGGCAGACCACTGCTCTTAATTCACCCCACGGAACTTGGGCTTGGCCGTGTGACCTGTTGAGGTCACGGAACATGAGCAGGCGTGGCAGTGGTCACCTTTCCAGCCACCCTCTGGGAGTGTCTGGCTGACGTGTCCACTGCCCCTCAACCCTGGGATGTGGAGCACATATGACCTTGACCCACAGCCTGAACAGGAGCCCCCAGATGACACCCAGGCCCCTGAGTGAAAGGTGCTTATTGTTTTAGGCCACTGAGATGCTATGCTGTTTGCTTTGCATTCAAAGCTGACAAATACACTTGCTTTTAAAGAAGGTACTTAGTCTCATTGCGTCGTATCTGATTCTTTTCCCCTTGACCACCCTGTGTGTGTTATAAAAGATCTTCAAAGCTGTCTTCATTCTAGGCTCTCTTCTGATGTCAGAGGAGGGCAGAGATGTAAAGCTTCCACTCTTGTTTCTCTGCTTCTCTTTTGTTTTTTTATTGAGGTATAATTGACATATTGCGTTATATTCAGGGGTACAACATGATGGTTCAGTATTTGTACATATTGTGAAACGATCACCACAGTGAGTCTCATTACCATCCATCATCCCAGAGAGTTACACATTTTTTTCCATTTTTCCTGCTTATTAATAGAAGAACTTGCAGTGAATTTCGTCACTGTGCCTGCAAAGGCCATGGAAAGATATTAACCAGCAATCCAGAGTGTAAGTAAACTAGATAGATAAAAATAAATCCCTTTATTTTCCTCTTGTGTGAGGGGTGAGGGAAGCAGGGAAAAGCAGACACATTTATAACAGCTGCGTCGCAGCTCGGCTTAGCGGTAAGTGCTCTAGGGCTTGTGGAAGATGCCGAGGGTGTTGCTTTGGGGACCTGGGTGGGTACTGTCAGATCGCCCAAGACTGGCTTCCCTTGCTGCCGGACCCGGGGAGCCCACTTTTGGAGACTGCATGGGGTTCAGAGTCCAGCGGGTTTGATACTGAGGTCTCTTCCCCTGTTGAGAAGGCCTCTGAATAAAATCTGTTTTCACCACACCACACCCAGCCCTCGGGTCAGGACCTAAAAGAGAGCTGGGAAGTCCTTGAAGTCCCTTCATGTTGGACTTCTGACTTTGAGAACTGTGAGAAAGAAATGTCTTCTGTTTTAGCCCCCAGGTTATGGCATCTGGTTACAGCTGCCTGCGAGGACTAGACCTGCTGTAAAGCCGCACCTCGTGACTCAGTCATGACTGATGAGTGAGCTCCTCCCAGTGTCCCAGTGCCTGCTGTGTGCCAGGTACTGTGCTGGGCCCTGGAGCTACACAGGTCGGGATTTGCAACTCTTAATTAGCCTTTGGTGCAAGGGCTCATTCGAGTTTAGGAAGAGGTCACTAGAGGGCAGGGAACTGTGGAGTACAGCCGGGGGCAGGCAAGGCTAGGGAAGGCTCTGGAGAGGCCGAGTTTGAGCTGAGTCTTGGAGGATGAGCACGGGGTAGGGGTCTGTTAGGAATCAATGTATAGGCCCAGGCTCCTGGTTGGATGAGAGGCTGTGGAGGAACAAGTGTGCTGTAATATAATAGCACAGTCAGTAACTGTGGGCCATCTTTTGTCCTGTTAATGAACTCTCTGTACTTCGCGTTTACCTGTTGTTAACAAAGGTGCTTAGCCACTCATTTGCTATCTCAGGTTGGTTTATGTGGTTGGCAGCAGGGTTGCTGATGATCTGAAAGCTTAGGGCAGAAAACGTACAAGCTCTTACCACGTGTGAGCTAAGCTGAGTTACTCTTCACTTCCTCGTTGAGGCTCAGACACTGTCCTGGATCCCAGAGGTGTTTGGAAAAGGTAAAAAGCACCAGCACCAAGCAGGTTGCCCCCCAGGTGCCCTGTCTTTTGCTTCGATAGTTTCTGATTGGACCTCTTTAACAAGCTATAAAGGGAGGCTTGAAAATGATGGAAATAACTATCTACAAATAACATCTTTAAGGAGAAGAGTTAGAAAGAAACAGCAAAGGGGTAAGGGGCACTAATTCCCTTGTTGGCTGAGCTTACATCACAGTCTCACACTGAATGGAGGAGGGATCCGAGTTTGGAAATAAAGGGGACAGAGTCTGAAGCCAGTCGTGGAGAAGAGGGCTCTGACTAATAACTGCTGGCAGGCCAGCCTGCAGGAAGGACTGTGGGTTTTACAGAATATCAGTCAAGTTCTGCCAAAGAGACAAGGGAACCTCACAATGACACCTGCGTTCTTGTTTACAGTGATACTATAAGTACACAATTCTCCTCTACTTCCAGACAGGGCTTGCATTACCTTATCATGAGATTTCATAAAATAATGTAGTTAAAATGCATTTTCAAACAGAGAAGTTAATAAAATCAGTGTCAGAAGAAGCTAGCTGTAACAAGAACCCAGAATAAAATAGGACTCTGGGTTTTACCTTTGAGTTTCCTAGAAACCACAGGAGGGAGAAAAGGAACACGTAGTTTGTAAACAGAAGCAGCTGATACTGATTGAAGCCTTCCTTCCACCTCCCACACTGTTGGAGAACGGCTCAGTGCATAGGCGTGGCGGGTGGTGTCGGCAGGCGATCTGGGAAGGCATCTAGCCTGGGGCTGCCCTCATCTCTGGCTGTGCGAGTAGAGGTCTGGAGGGGGGGTGGTGGGCTCAGGTGGACGTGTCAGAAGTGTGATGCCTCCTGTCCCAACACCAGTGACCAGCCTGATCCGCTGGCCCGCTTCTTGCTCCCCTGTGACTGGTCAGATGAAGAAACTTGTCTCAAACTTGTCCCTCCAGCTGCAGCCCCTGTGGGTGGGCTCGGACTTGGGGGTGGAGGTGAGGCAGGGCTCATCTGCGGGCCTCAGGCTCATTTTCGGCAGTGAGGTCTGTGAGCCAGCCGTGGCTGTGTGGCTCAGGTCACTCGCCGACTCCTGCTGCATCCCGTGCTGTGAGCCACCCAGGGCTCTGCCAGGGCAGCCTGCCCTGCGATGGACGCTTCTCCCTGAGCCCGGGCCTAAGATCGGGCTGATGTTGGCCATGGTGACAGGAAAGGGCTTAGTGGCTGGCAGAGGTGAGGCAGGCTGGGCGGGGCTGTGCCTTCCCACTCTCCTCCCAGAGTGGGACATCTGCAGAGCTGCCGGCCCACCTTCTTGGGGTGAGGACATGGCCCCTTCTGCAGTGGCGCTGAAGTACAGCGTGGAGCTGTCCTGTCCTTCCCCTGCACTGGGCCACCCATCTGCACCCCTCCCCTGCACCTCAGAGATAGCCTCGGCTCCTTCCCCTGGGCGGCCCTCCTGCTGTGTAGCTGACAGCCTCTGGGCAGGAGCTCTGTCATAATTATTGCTGGCAAAAGAGACATAACTTGAGGTTTCCAACAGGTCAGCCTCCACTCTCAGGGCAGCTTGAGACTCAGAGCCTTTCTCTGAGGCTAGGGGTTCAAGGGGTGACAAGGGAAGCTCTTGCTGGGGAAGCGAGGGCTTCCTCTGCTGGTTGCAGTGCTGGCTCACCCCCCACGTAATGGAACAAAAATGGCTAGGATTGTCTTCTCCAAAGACTGCGTAGATCTTAGACACATTTCCTGTTTTCAGGGCAAGTTTCACCAACAGCCAGTGGTGGTGACTGAGGAAAGAGCCCTCCCCAGCAATTTGGCTTTCCAGCCCGGCCTCTGGGGGACCCCACTGTGGGCTGGGGGGCCTCCCCAGACCTGGTAGCTCGTAACTTTCCTCCTGGCCCGTGCCCTGGCTCTCCGGTCTCTCCCCAGCTGGACCCAGGGCCCCGGGAGAAGAGTCTCCCTCTGCTTTATCACTCCCCACAACGCCGCAGGACTTCCGTACAAAGCTGAGCCAGATGTCTGTGGATTTAGGATGTAGCAGGTTGTAATAAATTACCAGTGAGGCACCACCTACAAAAGAATAAAAAAAAGAGCCCAAGGTTATGTTCTTTGAAGTCCTGCATCCTCCCTGGGGTTTGCAGAATTCCAGGTTCTAGAATTTTGAGTGGAGTAATAATATCATTTGGAATTCAAAACAGGACTCTTGTTGGAGCAACAGAATTGGATATTTGGAGGGAAGATTTAGGTACACTCTAGCTCCCATAAACTGCAAGTGTTTCTAGTCTTGGAAATGTAATAATAAAGTTTAAATCCTATGCATTCTATGACATCTTCGCTGAGGGAGGCTCCATTTAAGTACTGGGTGTGCGTGTGTGTGCATGTGTGACTGAGGGATTTGGTAGAAATGCTACTTTTACTTTCAAACAACTGGATGGATCAAATACTCAGAAATCAACCATCCACACGCTGGGTGACAGACTCCAAAGTGAGGGGAGGGGTAGGTAAGGAGTCATTTTAAAAACAAGACCCAGATATCAAGGAATTTCCATGAGCAGCAGCAATACTTCCTTTGTGCACAAACATCTTAATCACATTGTTGTCAGGTTAATTTATTTTGATCAGAAGTGTTGACTACAGCAATAATTTATTTAACAGAGCGTTCCAGCAATCCTCCCACATTATTTCCAGCTTCCTGTTGTACTGGACCAAGTGCCTGGTTTCAGGGCGCTTGTTATAAACAGTGTGAAACCTGACAAAGCCAGGGAAGCATCGACGGGGCCAGGAAATCACAGCAGTGGCGCTAGAGGAACCTCCAGACATCCCCTCGCACCCGCTCGGAGTGTCTTTGGGGGAATGCAGCCAGAATTCCCACATGATGTGACCGTGTGTTGCTTCTGGGGGGAGGGCATGGCTCAGACCACCTCTACACATGGTTCTGAGTCCTCACAGTCAGCGGTGAGGGAGGTATTGCCACCCTTCCCCTACAGTGAGCCTCCCCCTCCATCCTGCACGTCCCAAGTACATGTGTTCAACGAAGACAGACTTCCCTCAAGGCCCGTGGTTCACAGGGGTGTTGGCTGCAGCCCCAGGCTGGCATGCAGGAGGTACTCAATACATGTATGTCTGGGAGCTCAAGATGGGAGCCAGACACTTTCAAGCCTGTGCTCCTCTGACGATAATTACACCCCATCTTCCTGCAGAGGATGCCGTCCAGGGCCACCCCAGGAAGCCGGGGAGAAGGACCAGCAGGCTGGGCTCTGTCTGAGCCCCTCAGGCCTCCTGAGCCTGGGGTGCTGACCCTCGGACCTGGCCCCCCCATCCCCAAGTAAACACACAGAATGAAAATCCCTCCTCCCTGGAGCAACACTGGGCGGGGAAGCCAGTGAGGCGGCCCCCAGGAGCACCACACATTCTAGGAACGTTGGCCGACATTGGTTTTCTAATCAGAGGGTGAAAACGTCAAGTAGATGGGAGGAATCTTTCTGCCTCTGACCCTGCTGTGCTCAGGGTCAGGCCTCCCGAGAACCGAGAAGTCCTTACGAGCTATTCAGCCTCCCAGCTGCAATGGCCCTTCCCCCATGTGTCAAGTGCCCGGGCCCCCAGGAAGATTGCTTGGGCAGAGCCAGGAGCAGTGGACTCTGGGCCCTGGGAGGGAGCTGGCTGCTTCTCACCTGGGCTCCGGGGTCCTCAGCTCTGCGTTTATGTGCACACTAGCACCCTGTGTACAAATGATGATGTGGAAAAGGACAACTCAGATGTCCTTCAAGGGCTGGCAGACTGGGCCTCACTCAGACCTCGGACCCGGCCTCAGCCACAAAGGAAGGGCTGCCCTGACAGACTCCAGGAGACTGTGCTGAGTGAACCAAACCAGCGCCCAGAGCACATGTACCATTCCAGCCATGTGACGCTGTGGCAGTGACAAAATTATAGAAATGGAGGGCAGGTTAGGGGTCGTCGGGGATTACAGAGCAGGTGGGGGTGAGAGGAAGTGGGCGTGGTTCTAAGAGTATCAGAGGGTCCTTATGGCCACTGAAATGTTCTCTGCGTCTTGCAGGTCGTGTCAGTATCCTGGTTCAGATGTTCTGCCTGCAGTTCTGTCAGAAGTCACCACTGCAGGGACTGGGCAGGGATGCAGGGATGTCTCCTTGTTCCTCCCTCCCTCTCCTCTCTCTCTCAATTTCTTTCATGCACAACTTTGAAAATTTTCCCTGTTCTTGACCTTAATATCTTCCATTCATCCTCCTAAATCTGTCTCCAAAGCTATCTACTTGGTGAATTACTATTCACACATCTCCAGTCATATTACTTGTCCTTGTGTCATTTCTTGCTTTGTGCTGTTAAAAATGTTTTCAAAAAGATTTACTGATGTAGAGTTCTCTGTATGCCTTCTTAAACCTTCAGTGATCTCAAAAAGAACAAGAAGTTTAATTTGAAAAAGGAGGGCAGACTCAGCAAACCCTAGCGAGCCACGGCCCCTGACAGCTGAGAGAGGGGCCAGAACCAAGGCCCAGGTAGCTTGAGGCGGTGTTTGTGAATCTGCTCCGTCCCGGGATAGTCTCTTTCTCTCCAGATGCTTGGACACTCCAGGGCATTTCCTCTCCCTGGTCAGTGCTACCCACACAGGCTAGTCCAGCCCCGACTGCTGACTAGTAAAAGGGCCCTGCTCCCCGATAACACACCCATTCCTTGGCGTGAGGGGCCGGGGCTGTCCTTTGGCACCTCCCCTCCCACATGCCTCCTCCAGGCTGCAGGTGATGGGAAGGCTCTGGGGTGAGCGCGGGAGCTCCAGGCCATGAGTTGTTGGACACAGCAGGGGAACCTCTGCACTGGACTGAGCTTCAGAAGCACAAGGACCAGCCTGAGACATGCAGGTGCCGTCCTGGGCAGCCACAGCAAAGGCCTGCAGAGTGAGGGTGCTGTCATTGCTGAGCCAGCACCTGCTGGGGGCTGGGTAGGGGGCAGGCTGACAGCAGGGGTGCGTCTCGCTGTATTTTCCAAGTGCATGGGAGGAATTCTGCCTGGGAGCGCACGTTGCTGTGTTAAATCAGGCTAGTTAACACGGTGGGTAAAGTACACACCTTGAAGTCATTCATTCATCATGAAATGTAAGTGACTATCTAAAACCACCAGGCCCTGTGCTAGACGCATGAGTTGGAGTGGCTGTGAATCCCAGCTCTGCAGCTTCCGGATGGTCTGACCCCGTGGGCGTCACTTAACTTCCTCTGTGCCTCCTAGGCTGGGGCTAGTTCAGCCCCCTCTCCTAGGGCTCTTGTTGAGTTATAGCACACGTGTGGGGTCAGGAAGACCCCTGCTTTGCTCCCTCCCCACCCATCCCTTGTTGCTGCTGTGGGAAAAGAGAGGGAGGTCATGTCCTTGACCCCTGCCCTTGCTCCAGGGAGGGCACCCCCCAACGAGGCAGCCCCTGCTGGCTTGTAGTTCTGACCACAGCCAAGTGAGGCAGATGAAGACTGATACAGTTTCTTGTGCCCTGGTGGGGACGGCCTTGCCACCCACAGTGCAGGGAGCCTCCTTGATCTCCATCAACTGCTTCTGAGTCCCGTTTCCTACCTTTGGAGTGAGTTTATTGTAAATAAGCAGGTTGGGGTGAGGAGGGAGGGGATAGGAAGGTGACTTCGGGTCTTACCAATCAGAAATCCAGACAAGATTCCAGCTACAGCCCACAGGCTGGTCCACGACGCCCCCTGGAGGAAGTGTGTGGCCAGCAGCACAAGGAGGGAGTTCTCAAGCAGCATAATCTGTGGGACCAAAAAGAGTCAGCACATCTGGTCAGGTCACATGGCCCTGGGGATGCTCCCATCCTGTAGTCCTCTGCGGCGTCCTTCAGGGCTGGGGGCTCTGAGCTCTGTGCCCACCAGGGCTCCCACTGCTGACTGGGCCTCCCAGAAGCAGGGTCAGGGTCCAGTGAGCCTCTCTGGCACAGGGGGACTCTCCCTGTTCTCACTGCAGCTCACCGAAACACCTGCAGACTTGTTAACCCCCAAGGCGTGTGAGGGCACTGCTCACAAGGCTGGGGGTTCCCTCTGGTGAGTCCGGTAGGGCTGACAGGAGACTTTTATTTCCTGCTTTATATGCTTCATAGTCTCATGTTAACTGAGTGTATGTGTTAGTTTTATAATGCAAAAATTAAAAGTATCTGCAGAGCTCATGGTGACACTGAATTCTGGTAAGCCAGAGTCGCAAACTTTCATAACAACTTCAATTTTTTCCCCAAATATTTGCCTGTTTCAAGGTAAATTTGGCCCGTGGCCAGCAGGTGGCAGCAGGGGAGGCAGGCTTGCTGGCGGAACGGCCGTCCTCTGTGGTCCCAAATGGTGGCCGCTCTCACAGCCAGGTGGGCATATGAATTTGCTTTCCAGTTGTTAAATATAAACATGTATTTCTTTAAGTAAACAAACTGGATGTAATTCAAAGATAATATATTTAAATACTGTATATAAGACATTAAAAATAAACAACCGAAACTAATACGATTATGTTAAAAGTCTTCAAAGGTTTGCCACAGCCACTCACTGGCATTATTTTACTCTAGAAAGGTCAAATAAGGGGACAATAAAAAACGGCATTAGGGGCTGCTTAAAAATCCTAAGAATCCCATCCCCCAACACCTTTGGCTCTGGACAGCTGTGTTCCAAGGGCTCAGCAGACGTTTCAGCACTACACGGCACTGCCCGTCAGCCCAGTCTGCTAAACCTGGAGGCGTTCTCTCTGCTTAAATCACCCACATCTCATCAGCCCTCTGGTCCTGTAGAGTCAAACGCTTAAAGTTTGTTTCAGGTCCATTGCCTTGTTCCCGTCCTTACTGCCATTTCATGGTTCTGAACCCGTTGCTGCCTGTCAGGGTCCGACTGTCGCCTCTGTCTTCACTCTCACACGGCAGTCTCTCCTCCATGCTGTTGTTAGGGTGACCTGTCTCACCTGCAGAGCAGACCTCGTCGCCTGCCTTACGCACCTTGGGATCGCCCCACCTCCACGTGGGTGGTGAGGCCGCTCCTTGACGATGCAGGTGTCCTGTTGACAATGTGTCCAATTCTGCCACCCAGAGCCCTCTTCCGGCAGGCTGACCTCACAAGCACCGTGACAACTGGTGTCATGGGTCAACTTGACTGGGTTAAAGGAGGACCGGATAGCTGGTAAGAGTGCATCTGGGTGTGTCTGTGAGGGTGTCTCAGGAAGAGACTAGCACTTGAACCAGCAGACTGAGTAAATAAGGCCACCTTCACCGACGCAGGTGGGCTTCGTCCAGTCTGCGGAGGGTCCGCATAGAACAAAAAAGTAGAGGAAGAGGGATTTCTCTTTCTCTCTGCCTGTGCTGAGATGTCCCTTTTCTGTCCTTGGACACCAGAGCCCCTCGTTCTTGGTCCTTTGGACTTGGACTGAATCACCACTGGCTTTCCTGGTTCTCCGGCTTGTGGAAGGCAGACCCCCATAACTGCCTGAGTGAATTCCTGCAATAAACCTCCTCTTCCATATCTGTGTGCATCATCCTATTGGTCCTGTGTCCCTGGAGAACCTGACAAACGCAGTGACGCTCCACTGATGCAGACTCTCTTCTTGACCAGACTTGACTCAAACAGGCTCCTCCAAGCCCTCTTCTCGCCGAGGCGTCAGCCTTGGTGTATACAAACTGTAGGCTCGTAGCAGAGATGATTTCGTCCACCTCCCCCACGTTGAGAGCCCTGAACAAACACAAACGTAGTTTCTGACAGCTCAAGGCAGCGTCCCTAGGGCGATGGCCTGGCCTCAGTTAAGCTCCTGCCTAAGAAAGCTCCGTGCTGCCGGGTGCACTTGGTTTGTTCCGGCCGCAATCTGGTAATAGGTTGATAGGCCCTGAGCCCCTTCTCAGGGGCAGTTACTTTAGAAAGCATGCAATTATAAATCCCTTCTCGGCCCCTTGGAAATCTGCCACCCAGCGCCGTCTTCTCCAGGACCTAAGAGCTGTCTCTGAAACACAAACCAAGGGGGCAAGTCTCTCTCTCCTGGCGCCAAGGTGTGGGAGCACTGCCTTTGGTCATGAAGATGGGGGAAGTGTGTTCGTGCTCCTGAAAAGTGCCAGTTTGCAAGCCAGACGCTGCAGTCACATTAAGCACCCTGTTCACTCCCCACTCTGCTCTAGCCCCCCTGTTCCCCAGCTCCGTTCTCCCTTTAAAATGCGCAGTCACCTCTGCACAAATTGAGGGCGGGGTCAGTCCACGCTGGACCCCCTTTCCCTGCTGCAACTGACTTAGTAAAATCTGTTATCACTGCCTTTAACTGGTGTCCGGGTTGTCTTGGTACTGTCTACATCTCCTTTCCTGTGGCCTCCCCCATCCTCCGTGGTCTTCATTTTGCTTCATCAGCTCTGCCTGAAGTGCCCCTCTGTACCCCCCACCCCATCTCCTCTTCAGGCCAACAATCCTGTCCCTCAGGACCCAGCTCCAGTGTCACAGCTGCAAAGTATTCCCCGATTTTCCCAGGCCCTGCTCCTCCGTCAGCCTCTTGAATTCCTCTGGGGTTTGATAACACCATTTCTCCAGTCACGGGGGTTGCATTCTTGTGCTGTGTCCCTGCGGCCTCTGAGCCTGGACCTTCTCACACTCTGGTGTCTGGGACATTTCTCGCACGTGCAGGAAGCTGTCTGTGCCTCTTTACGTGAATAATCAGTGACGGTGGAGGAGGCTCTGCCGGACTCTGACATTCACAAGTGATGGGGGCTGGTTCCCACCTCTGAAGAGGAGCAGTGAGCACAGGGGAGCACTTCCCAAATAGGCTGCATCAGCACCACCGGACCCTGCTCCCCAGACCCGGACTCCAGGCCTCACTCAGACCTGTGGGATCAGAATCGCCGATGAGGCATCTGGCATCTTTAGAAGACCTCCCTGAGTGTCCCTGACAGCCAGCCATGCTGAAGGGTGGCTGCACAGAGGCCCCCGAGGCTGCTTCCCACTTGTCCAGCTGTGTGGCTATGGGCTCAGCCTGTGGCGTTAGACCAACTGGATTTGAATCCTGCCTCTGACTGAGGAGCTCCCTGACCTTCAGCAGGTTACTTAACCTCTGTCTGCCTCAGTTTCTGCATCTGTAAAATGGGCTGCATCCCATTGCCTTCTGTGAGAAACAAGTGAGCTTAGAACAGTGGTGCATGACAATCCTGCCCCAAGTGTCAGCTGTTACAGGTGATCTACTAGGATTTTCTGGACCAGAAGATGAGGAAAGGAAGGCATAGGAGGGTGGGAACGAGTCCTAGTGCAGAACCTTGACAAATAGAAATGCTTCATATGTTTTTTGAATGAATCAAGGAAAAAAGGACTCCAGAAGTTACTGCTCTGGCCCGGGGACACGTGTGCCCTCATATAAGCAAAACCATTCCCCATTAAAAAACAGAGCTACTATAAGCAGCCACCAAGCCCATCTTCCTTAGAAAGTAGATTCTGTGGTCTTTTTGCTTCTGAGGCAAAAAAAAAAAAAAAAGCATTAACACTTTCTTTGCTAATAGAACACAATTTACCCCAAAGGAGTAACTTTCTTTTGGGGTCAGGGCTCATGCATCAACACCAGGGAAGGTGCCTGTCATTTATTTTTTTAAAAAATAATTTAGCTCTCAGAGTACCCCACAGCCACCATGTCCCAGGCACCAGGCTCCGCTTTGCTCTTGTCACCTGTCATTCCCAGCAACAGCTGTTTGGCAGTTGAGAGCACTGGGGAAAAGTCTGGAGCTGTCCCTCCCACGAAGCTCATGAGGAAGAAATCCTGCATCACACCTCAGATGCTGGAGCTGAAACCCATGTTCTCCCTGCTTGGCTGAGCGTTTGGGGTCTGGGCTGCAGGGCCATGCCCTCCACCTGGTCAGTGGCCTGACCTACTATATATATATATATATATATATATATTCACACAACAGATAAACAGCAAGGTCCCACTGTATAGCATGAGGAACTATATGCAACACCTTGTAATGGCCTGTAATGAAAATAAGGAATATATATATATATATATATATGTGTGTGTATATATATATATATATATATATGTATATATATATGTGTGTATATATATATATAGTAGAATCACTATGCTGTACATCAGAAATTAACACCATATTGTAAACCGACTATACTTCAATAAAAAATAATAAATGGAAAAAAGAAACCCGTCATCACCACTTGCCATGTAGAACGTGGCCATCCTGTTTCTGGAAGGGCTGTCCCAGAAGTCGAGGTAGCAGAGGATGTACACAGCCCCCACGAGCAGGTTGAACAGCCTCCAGTGCCAGGTGCCGTCCACGATGTCACTCTGCTGAGCCATAAGCCAGAATGTCATCACCAGCCAGTGGGCACCTGGAAGGGGAGGCCTTAGAGGTGAGGGTCCTCGGTGCGGGGAGACGGGCGGGGGTAGGGCAGGGATGAGGAAACCCAGGACCTGTCACTGTCTTCTCTGTTATGACTACATCTGACTTCGAGGGGTCAGTGAAAACCCAGAAGAGATTCAGGGGGCACAGGAAACCAACACTTAATTTTGGCACATAGTATCTCATTTGGTCCTCACAACGGGTAGCTGACCTAACTTGGGGAGGAGCGTAGACCAGCTTCAGTAACACTTACCAAATATTCCGTGCTTATGACCTCTTAGCTCCAGAATGTGTTTAAGGAGGCAGTTACGAAACTGGCGACCCACTATTTTTCAGTCGCTGCTATAAGGGCTAAAACCCTCCACATTCAAAGAAAACATCTGTAGCAGCCCAGCTGTAATATTTACGTCCGTATTAAAGAGGAATAATATAGTGGAGTTTGAACCAGTTTTTTAAAATGAATTTTTAAAAAGCTAATCTCTTTAGGAATACAATTTCTTTCAAAAATTTCTCTTTTCTGCCAATAAGTGTATCAATGCTTGCTTTAGGTTCAAACCTAAGTATTTCTTGGTGCCTCCAGTTCTCTTTAAACAGAATACACTGTTCCTTTGTGCAGACCATATTCTCTGGGGACCGGGAGAGGTCCCCTCCAAGCACCCTGCTTAGTCAGACTCCCTGTCATCACTGGTCAAATCAGGTTCGGCTAGACTGAGGGCTGAGGGAGGGTTTGGGTTTAGTGGAGCTGTCCTGTTTGAAACAGAGAAAATGGCCAAAGTTTGGCATGTGAGTAAAACAGAGGGCTTTTGGAGTCTATGAGCAACAGCATCGTACGTACTGTAGATTTTTGTCCTGGGCCAGGGCAGGTGGGATGCTGTGCCTCTCTCCGTTTGAGTGACAGCTTCACTAAAGATTTCAGCCCATGACACAGAACATGCAGCCCTCACAGCAGCTGAAGTCGTGCTCTGGATCTGGCTGGTGCTTTGAGGGCTGGGCCAGCTCAGCTGTGGGAGCGTATCTCCAAAGAGAGCCCCCGCAGCTCCCATCCTGGACACTGATGGAATTGGGTCAGCTCCTCCACGTTCTTGAGCCTGGGCTGGCTGAGAATGTTGTGCTGGGTAGAACACAGCAGAAGCCATACTGATCCAGAGCTGGGCCAACAGTGAGAGGACTGGCAGTCTGCACCCGCTTTCTGTGGGAATTGTCAGCTGCTACATCTGACTCCAGATGGCTTTGCTGAAGAGAAAGGGTGGAGAAGTCCTGGGTGCCAGACGTCTGAACGGCTGGTCTGGTGGAAACTTCCTCTGAATCCAGACACCTGGGGGCCCGCTGCAACAGCGTGAGGCCCGCCCTCCCAGGCAAGAGCGCCTGGACGGAGCCTGGCCAGCTTTCAGAATCAGGCATGTGGATCACAAATGGTTCTTTGGAAGGAATCAAGTTGTGGGGTGGCTCATTACACGGCAGTAGACACCCGGAACACAAGCGCAGCTTACCTCCGACAGCCAGAACCCAGACGTGGTAAGCTCTGAAGAACAGAACCAGACTCAGGACGCGGGATCCCAACATGCCCATCCTCCACAGCTGCTGGCAGCCGAGGGCCGTCCAGGACACGGAGAGGCGGCCGGGCTTCATAGAGCCCAGGAGGCGGGTGTAGCACACCAGGGCCCAGGACAGCGCCGACCAGGAGCACAGGGCGCTCAGCCCTGGGAGGGAAGGGACAACAGTGGTGTTTACAGGACGCCTAGCCTCTTCGTAAAATCTGACTTCACAGAGGGCACCGTCGCCTCTGTGCAAACACGCACGTCTGCCTGTGCTCAGGAGAACGAGGCTGGGCAGGAGAGTGTGCTCTGCGCAACACACGGGCCCCTTCCCCAGCTAGTGGGCTGGGCTCCCCTGTGGTCGCCCTTTGAGAAAAGCTTCCAAGTCATGGCTCCTTCAGTCCTTTGGTTTATGATGAAGCAGATCCTAAAGGCTCTGAACCTGGTGTTTCATCCCGAATGTACTTGCCCTCCACCCCACACGAAGGAGGTTTAATCAAGGAAATAAGACCAGGACATCCAATGGTGTCAGGCAGTAGGAGAGAGCCTGTGCCCCGGAGTGAGCGCCCGCGGGAGACGCATGCTTGCTGGGCCTCACTTGTTCTGTTTCTACGGCTTTTGAGGCCTGAGCCTCTGGCCGCACTGAGTTGGTCCCCCTGAAAAATGGACACACTGATCTCACGGAGAGGCAGCACGTGGTACCTTCCCAAGGTGCCTTCAGGTAATGTGACTATCTGCAATTTCTGTCTCAGGGACTGACTCCCATGGAGGAAGCTAACTCCTTGGGAACTCATCACCCCAAACAAAAGCCAGTATTAACCATCATCTTCTGTACTATAGTGATCTTGGGCTGCCCTAATTCTCCCTAACAGGGCAAATCTTAGATGGCCGGGCTTGGCTAAATAAGACGTTGGTTTCTGTCCGCTGGGAGAAGTTGGGCAGTCTGCGGTTAGTGTGGACGTTACTTACCTGGCACGGTATCGGTGAAGTCCGAGGTGAGGAAGACATATGTTTGAAGCAGCAGGTGGGGCCCGACCTGAAGCAGAGCCTCCAAGAGGCGCAGGGCCGACAGGTCGGCCTCCTGTAGCAGCAGCTGGCCCCGGCCAGAGGATTCCTCTTCCCTCGATAGAACAGTGGACACGGCGTCCCAGTGCCTGGAGGGGGGAGGGTGCTGGGTCTCAGAACCACACTGTGACAGCTCAAATAAGACCCCCCCTTTTCAGATGGCATTCTGGGGATGAACCCATCACCTCTCCACACCGGAGCCCCTGAGCTCTGACTCCAGGCTGAAGACAGAGCTTCTAATCCAAATGCTACAGCAGGTAACCCTGCCCAGCAAGGCCTGGCCAGCGGACCACACTGTGCACGTGTGGGAAGGGAGGGGCGTCAGGAGCCTGAACCAGACAGGCTTGCTGAGGGCTGTCTCTGAGTCCTGCAAAGTTTGGGGCTAACCCTGAACCCCTTCCCCACTCCAGAGCCTCTTGGGATGGGAATTAATTTGCTCAATAAATGTGTGTTGCCAGGTACACTGTCATCCTAGCTTTAGCTCAAAAGGAGGTGAGAAAACTCATCCTCGTCCTCACAGACCGTAGAACCTCGTGTGCCTCTGAAAGCAGGACAGGCCGAGAGCAGCACAGAGAAGGAAAGGGGGAGTGGCTGGGGCCTGGCAAGACCCAGGTGGCTGGCACAGGAGGGGAGGGAGGGCTGAGGGGGCCCAGGAGGTAGACCAGGGCCCTGAACTGCAGGTTATGGGGTCTGGATTTTGCTCTGGAAAGCTGAACTTGGCAGAGATATGTATGTCGTGTTTGGGGTACCGGATGAGTGTGTATGTGTGTGTATTAGACACTGAACATAGTCCCCCAGATTCGTATGTTGAAGCCCTGACCCTGTGTGATGGTTCTCGGAGGTGGGCACTTTGGGAGCTGATGAGTTAGATGAGGTCATGAGGGTGGGGCCCCCATGATGGGATTAGTGCCCTTATAAGAGGAGGGGGGAGACCAGAGGTCCTTCTCTGCTCACATGCACCAAGGACACAGCAAGAAGGTGGCCGTCTGCAAGCCCTGAAGAGAGACCTCCCCAGGAACCCCATCTGCGAGCACCTTGACCTTGGAGCTCCCAGCTTCCATAACTGTGGGGAAATGAATGTCTGTTGTAAGCTGGCCAGTCTGTGGTATCTTGTCATCTCAGCCTGGAGTAAGACTGTGAGAGTGTGCTTAGCGAAGAAAGGAAAATCAGGAAGAAACTAATATTATAATTCCAGCAATAATCAATGGATAAAAACTAATGAAGTTTAAGTTGAAGGAGCATTATGGGTGGAAAGGAAGGTGCAGGTGAGGGAAATATTGGGGGAAGGTTAGGACCTGGTGACTGATGAGGGAGGGTGAGGGAGGGTAACCGATGGCTCTGGGGCTTCAAGAGTGAACGACGTGGAAATGGTGATGCTGCTGACAGAAATAAGCCAGTGTTAAAACCATGGGGCTGCCGGACTGGCCAGGGGTATGACTGTCCTCCGAGGTGAGGATTTGAGGACTGCGGGACACGAAGAGAGAGTTCTGGAGCTACCACTGATGAACTCGGACTCGGGAACAGGGAGACAGCAGGGACCAGGGGGCCAGAGGAGACCATGGGGACAGGACCCTGAGGACCGTTCTCACTGAGGGACCTGGACGAGAAGGAGAAGCCAGCAGAAAGCTTGGAGGAGAGGAGCAGGAGGTGAGGAGGGCAGAGCACCCTCCGAGAAGGATGGCCGACATCCCAGGCAGAAACCAGGCAGCAGCAGACGTGTAACAGGAGGTTGCCGGGTTTGGGGGTGGCCAGTTGCCATGCAGCCTTCTCATCGGGAGGCAAAGCTTGCCCTGCTGGCCAGCAGGAAGGGCGGGCATCGTTGTGGGGTCTTCAAGACTGGGCTGCCCGACCACCGGGACACACCAGCTCCCCAAGGAGGGCCCACCTTCCTTGTGCCCAGGAACAGGAGTCAGCGCAAGAGAAAGAAATTAGGAAGTGTTCCTGCTTCACTCCCATGAAGCCACCCTAGAAACCCTTCCTGACACTCTCATCTCATGAGAGCCGCTGGGGGTGCTGTGGGGCCCCATCTCTTGCCACCTTGAGAATCGTGCCTGTATAAAAACAACACGACTCCCAGGGGACACTCGGGTGCTGGGGACTTCAGGTTTTTGCAGCAGTTTCCCCCCTTTCCACCCATGTGTCCCCCGGGTCCACTCATGAGCAGGAAGAGGGTGGTCACAACACCGGCCTGCAGCAGGGGCAGGAGTGCCCCCCTAGTCCAGGTGGGGTCGAGAACTTCTGTCCAAGTGGAGGAAAACTGGAACTCATTTCAATTTACTGACTCCTGAATCAGAGCCTGAAGCACCTTTCAAGTCCCTTGAGACACCCACTCCCTCTGATCTGCGGCCAACATTTCTACGGCAGCCAAAGCAGAGGGGGTCCTCTTTGAAATGGCTTTATTCGCGGTATGGAGGGCCCAGGAAAGAAGCTTGAGAAAAACAGTTTTCCTCTTTGATGATTTGGAATCCTGGAGGGAACCGATTTCTTACTGAGTCTTTGAAGCCATGATCTCTGACCCAAACATAATGTTAAGAAAAAGCATATGGAGCCAAACATGGGAGCTTCCCTTTCGGTCTGGAATCCTGGGGACAGACTGGTCCCCTTCCTTCCCTCCCCGCCACCTCCATTCATTCAATAAGCATCCTTATTGGGCTGCTCCCACCTGCTGGAGGTGGCAGAAAGCGCAAACGAAATGAAGGAGGTCCCCCAGGAGCCCAAGATTCAGTTGTGGATAGAAAGCCATACGCATGTGTAAAGTTTTAAGTAGGAAGAAAAACGTGACAAAATGAGAAGGGTGGGAGGGGTCTGGGGAGAGAGGATGCCAGGTCAGGTAAAGGAGGGATGGGCAAGCTAAGGATGGAGATGAAGCCTCAGGGAGCGTGTGTGGGGTCAGCGGGGCAGGAGGAGGGCCACCGGGGCAGGAGGTGGTCCGGTCTGGGGCTGGACAGCAGAGGCCTCTTCTGGTCCAGCTGAGGAGCTGGGCTTCCCTCTGGGAGACGGAGAACCAGTGGGAATGCGATTCATCTGGTTTTCTGAACCGGGTTTCTGGACCCGTTGCAGGGAAGGAACTCAGGCTGGGATCACTGGAAAGCTGGTGGGTTGGGGGAATCCAAGTGAGAGCTGAGGCACGGTGGGTGCGGGAAGTGGGAATGCCTGGATTACCAGCTCCCATCAAATTCTGGCGCGATCCGTCCTCGTGGCTGCTGCCTCTGTCCGGATCCACATCCTTCCGGGTCCTCAGCAGCTCCCGCCCAGATCTCTGGCTGCTGGCCTGGTCCTTGGACCCTCCTTCTCTACTATGTCCTTCACTGTCCCACAGCCATCTCTCTAAGGGCCTCATTTCACCAGGTTATTCCTTTACTTAAGCCTTTCCAGTGGGTCTCAAACCCCTTACCTAGTGGACAGGTTCCCTCACAGTCCAGCCTAGTCTGTCTCAGCCCACATTGCTCTCATCCTGAAAATCTTTCCCCTGCGCTCACAGTACAGTAAACTTCTCGTGTTCCCAAAACACCATGTCTGGCACTTCTTTCTGCCTCTGCAACAGCTGTTGCTGTTTTCTGGGTCGAAAGTTCTTCCTCCTCCCATGTGAATTAAAACCCACTTCATCCTTCAGCCCTCACGCAAGGGCTTCTGTGCCTGGGTGGTGGTTCCAAACAGTGGCAGCATCAGAGTCACGAAGAGGGCTGTCCAATGACAGGGTGCTGGGCTGCAGCCCAGAATTTCTGATGTGTTTGGAGAACTAGGAGAAGTTTGCTGTGATGTGATGTGATGTGGGTTCAGGTGCAGCTCGAGCATTTGCATTTTTAATGAATTCCGCGTGGTGAAGATATCGCTGGTCCAGGGATGCACTGTGGCAATCCTCCAGTCTGCAGCATCCCGTGAACATCTTTTTATTCTTCTGATACAGCTTTGTTCCCAATTTGGCCTCAGACAGTGTCTTAACCACGTGTGTCCCCAGCCCCTTTGGTGACACACAGGTTAGTGAATGTGAACAAATAAATACCAAAGATACTAAGCCGTGCTGATGGTGCTCTGAGATACCTAGTTGCACTACGGCAACGTGTTAACAAAATTGACTTTGTTAACAAGTTAATTAAACTAACTTCGGTCTTTGGAATGAAGTTTCTCGGCAAGCTCTAATCCCTTTTCATGAAGAGCTTAAATAAAAAACCAGACTTACCCACCTCAGCTGGAATAGTCTATCATAGACCCACAAGGTGAAGAATGGTGATCCTTCTCTCCACCTGAACGCTTTCTTGCAACGTGAAAGCTGAGACAGTGAACGGTTGAGGTTTCCGCTACGGCTGTACTTTTTTTTCCAGTTTTTTTTATTGTGGTAAATAAAATGCACATAACATCTAATTTAACCATCTTAACTATTTTACGTGTACAGTTTAGTGGTATTAATAATTTAAATTTAATAACATAATTTAATAGATTATTAACACTTTGCAGTAATTCATAATGTTGTGCAACCATCACCACCATCCGTCTCCATAACGCTTTTCAACTTGTAAAACTAAAACTCGGTCCCCATTAAACAGTAACTCCCTGCCCCTTCCTCCCCTGGCCCTTGGCAACCACCATTCTACTTTCTGTCTCAATGATTCTGGCTACTCTTAAGGACCTCATATAAGTGGAATCATATAGCATCTGTCTTACTGCATGCTTATGGCATCATGTCCTCAAGATTCATCCATGTGGTAGCACATAACAGAATGTCCTTTTTAAAGGCTACATAATATTTCATTGTACATATATACCACATTTTGTTTATTCATTCACCTGTCAATAGACATTTGTGTTGCTTCACGTCTTGGCTATTGTGAGTAATGCTGTTACGAACATGGGTATACAGATATCTTCAAGACTCTGCTTTCAGTTTGTTTGGATACATACCCAGAAGTGGAATTGTTGGATTATATGATAATTCTATGTTTAATTTTTTCCAGGAAACAACATATTCTTTCCCACAGAGGCTGCACCATTTTACATTTCTACCCACAGTGCACAAGGGGTCCAGTTTCTCCACATCCTTGCCAACACTTGTTGTTTTCTGGTTTTTCTTTGATAGTAGCCATCCCAGTGGGTGTGAGGTGGTATCTCACTGTGGTTTTGATTTGCATTTCCTGGATGGTTCGTGGTATTGAGCATCTATTCTTGTGCCTATTATTGATAGGGCTGAATTTTACAAACTTTTAAATATTACATTTACACCCATCTATAGGAAGCTTGCCTTACATATCCTTAAAGCTCACCTCAGCTTTCCCTTTGAGAACTTTGAGCTTTCACTAAAGAAAAACTTCCAAGACACATGCTGAGGATGTGATGCGTTAAGTATTCTTCTGCCGTCTCATGCTGTTTTCAAATGGATTTATAGGCTTACAATTTTTTTAATGTTCGTAACATATAGCATTAGAGTGAAACTATAAAAACAAACTAGGGAAAAGTAAGTGACTTTGTTTAGACAAGTGGTCACTAAATCAGTCTCTCTTGAACAGTCACTTGATCTTAATATAGTCTGTGTTATTTGGAATTTAAAAAGGAATGCATTTATGTTCTAAGGCCTTGCATTTTTTATAAGCTATTTCACCTCACAAAGTTTGTGTTTTATTGGTTTTTCTGATATTAAGTGGATTCTGCGTTCCGTTATGAAGTCACTTTAAGTGATCCCTTTTAAAATGCTGTTTGGGATTGTGCAAAGAGAATTGGCTCCTCCTACAGGCACTTTAGCTGAATTGCAGTTTGCTCAAAGGCTGCTTTTCAGGCGCTGATTGGGAATCAGTCTTGCAAAATTCTATGAGGATTTGCTTAAAGACACTCCATTACCCAGTGTTTTCTTCGTGAGAGCCCAATATGCTGGTTCCAGGATGAGGAACAGATTTCTTGTTTTCTACTTTAAGTTTCAAAGCTTTCTTCTAAGGAAGTAGATTTTCATTTATTTGCTTCATTTTTAATTTCAGAAACACTGCAAACCGTGTAGCTTCTTATGCCTGCACTGACTGTTCCAGAACTCAGAGTCACCTTGCGGTTCACCTTGAATAATTGTGTATTCTGTCTTTATCATCTTTTCCAACATTTCTTGACTTTTCTCACTTCTTTTTTTTGTTTCTTTCTCTTTTTTTTGTCCTTTAAAATTATATGTTTAGTCACCTTAACTCCTTTTTTTTTAAAATAAGAAGAGATATGGACAGCTAGTTGTTTTTCCTAATTTCTAATTTTCATGTCTCTCTTCACTAACCATTTTAGTTTCCTAATACATTTCACATTCATTGCATCATTTGAGAGGTTTCCCAGTGAAAACAATACCTTATCTGCAGTGGTGGACCACAGGTGAGCTTGCTGAGCACTTGGCCCATCCTGTTTATGGAAAAACTTGGCTCTGGCACCCAAATGGCTTGTTTTTGCAATGAAAGCTTGTTACAGATGTTACCAGGCCGATTCCACTGCTGAGCCCGTGGTTAAACCTGTGCCACCTTCCTGGACTGAGGAAGCAGGCGTTTACATGGAATGGTTGACCAATGAGTTGAAACAAGAGCAAGACAGAATTTTGCCCAAGTCAAGAAAAGGTTTGTGAAGGGTTACACCTTTTTCTAGAAGGAGCCCCTGATGATGCTCAAGAAAGTGCAGGCTGGGCGAGGGGACCAATATCAGAGCAAAGATTCAAAGAGGTGGCTTCAAATATTCTCCCAACCCTGCACTTCTGTGCCCCTTAGGATGGAATACACGTAGGCAGAAGAACCGCCCTGTTGCACGTACAAAATCATGCTTCGGGGGTGAAAGGGAATGCCTGTTCTTACCGCTTCCACACGCCAAGCTGTAGGAGGTGCAGCACCGCCAGCAAGCCGTGACCTTGATGTCCATCTTCTCGGAACCACAGATAGCTCAGGCCCTGGACCAAGAAGCCAGGCAGTAGCGCAGAAAGGGTCAGCCAGCCCCAGAGGAGCCGGCCTGCGGTGAAGTAGTAAACCATGGTGTAGAGGCCTGGGGACGAAAGAGGAAGCCCGAGACCATTAGTGGGAAGCTGGGGGGTGCCTGGGTGACCAGCCAACACTGCCTCCCGCCCCTACGGCCAGCAGGGCTGTCTGCTGGACCCAGCGCCTGAGCCGGCAGAGCCAGCAGGCAGTCTAGATGGGAGTGAGGCTGAAAGTGCTAGAGCTTCCAAAGGATCCCAGATACCAGACACCGTGGTCGTGTAGAGGGACTGTTGGGTCACCCAGGACAGCATGCACAGCAACCACCTGTTACTTAGTATGTGCTCAGAACTGTTAAACCTCCTCTCGGGGGACTGCTTCTTCATTTATTTTATTTTTGAGAATTGTAGGATACGGTAAGAGAGGAAAGAGTCTGACAAATCTAGGTTAGGATCTGCACTCCCTAATGACAACAGGTGAGTGGTTGCATCCGTCCAGCACTGAGATTCACAGGGATCGTTTCTCTTGACTGTTGCTTGGGTTTTCCCATGTTAGAGTTTAAAATGGATGTACCGGCACATAAAGCTGTGATCAGTAGCAGGAGAGCGACACCCAAGGTACAGACAGGAACCCTGCAGCTCTGCGCGGAGGAGCCAGGGCCTGCACAGCCATTCCTCGTCGCTGTCATCACCCAGGCAACACACGGCAAACCAGGGCCCCCAGGCACAGGAAGCCTCTGGGGGAGTCACTGCCCTGCCCACTCTGAGGCATGCTGAGGCCCGTGCCGTTCCCGGTTGGGGCGGGGGAGGAGGGGCCGACGGCCGCAGGACCACCTGGGCTGGGTGCTGAGACCTGGGGGTCCTGTCTTGTCTCGGCCCTGCTCGGTGGGGGCGCTGGACAGGGAGCTTTGGAGGGATCTCACTCTGGCGAGTCCTCTGTGCGCCTTTGAAATCTCACGGCGGGAGTGTCCAGGGGGACCCAAAGGACCTACTGTTCAAACCAGGGACCCCGCCAACACGGGGGCGACAAGTCTCTCGCAGCCACAAAGTTCAGAGCCAGCCGCCCCGCCCCAGGGTCCTCAAGTGCGTGCATGCTGAGGAGGGGTGCGGAGCCCTGGGGGTCCAGCTGCTGGGGCCGCGTTAAATCCACCTCGCTACCCTGGACCCGTGGGGATCGCGTGAAGGAAGACGCGTCTGCAGGGGGCCCGGCGGAAGTGGGAGGAGATCTCTGCTCCGGCACCGAAGGAGTTACAAGTTCAAACTGAAAAGGCGCTAAAAGGCTTTGCCATCTTGCTCCGCCTCGGCTGGCGGGACCGCACTCCCCGCAGGGCCAGGGTGTCCCCAGTCAGCAGCAGCCTGCCTGGGTCTGAACAGCCCTGCAGAGCTCCGCCGAAGCCGAGCCCCGTCCCGCCCGAACCCGGCCCCCGAGCGGCTTCCCCTGCCGCTGAGACCCCCAGGCCGGCCGGGTGGTATGAAGAGCAGGGCGCACCGGGGCCCGTATTCAGCACCTCTGGCACCTGCGGCACTTTGCCGAGTTCAGGAGGCCTTTATGGAGGGAAGGGCGGGATACACGAGCCCAGGTTCCAGGAGAGGATCACGCATCCGCGGGGGAAATCGTGCATCCGCAGGGGAGGGGTCTCATGCACGGGGGAGGGAGACCATGCATCCTCGAGGGAATCACGCATCCGCGGGGGATCGTGCATTCGCGGGCATCCACTAAGGACTGCGCGGGTTGGGGGCCACCGTGCGTGCCTTGGCGCGCAGTGCTGGCCGCAGGCGGGGGCAGGCTGCCGCCATGGCCGGGGTGGTGTGTGGGTCCCCGGCGTCAGGATGGATTGGGGTGTCGGAGAGGTGGGCATGGCAGACGCCCAGCCTCGGATTGCCCCGCACTCACGCGCGCTCTGCTCGGCCGCCAGCAGCAGGGCGGAGAGGCCCAGGACCCCCGCGTGCATCCTCCGCGCCGGCCCCGCGGCCCGCGCCTCGCGCCACCGGCCCGCCTCCCGGGCCCCCGCCCCTTCCCCTCCCGCCGCCCCGAGTCGGGGGGGTTTCCGGCCGGAGACCCGACTGCAGGATGCTTTTTGGCTGAGCCGTTAAGGCGTGAGGTGTCTCATTCTGGTTTATCCTGAGTGGCTTAGAGGGGAGGGGGGAGGGAGGCAGGCAGTGTTGAGTTTTCTGAATCCTAAGGAGGGAAAGTACGGGTTAGACCCGGCCTCTTGATTTGCGCAGAAGCGGTTTCTCTGCAGTTCCTCAACTTTATAACGGGCCTTCGGAAAGTACTATGAGTCTTGGGACCACAGCTGGGTTGGACAGGAGGTGGTTAAACTGGCCACCGCCTCTGGGGCGGCTGAAAGGCACTCGGGTTAGCCACTAGTCAGAGAGCACATGTACGTCAATGGAAGGAGTTGGATTAGAGCCATAAATTAGTCTTTCCGAAATCTTGCAGGAGATGTTAACTGGCATCTTTCCCTGTATCTCACCCTCGAATCCACTGCAATCTGTTTCCACAAAAGGTTTTTTTTTGCACAGGGGCTTGCGTGTAATCAAGATTCCAATGTGCAAGAAGTAAAACTGCTCGCTGGAAAACCTCGCAGGATATTGTCTGTCTGTCTGTCTGTCAGTCTATCTATCTAATCTACCTACCTACCTACCTACTTACTGTATAATTTAAGGAAGAAGTGGTATTTAGACATGGTGATGCCAGTGATGAAGTTGGGGTCTTTAACTTTTAAAGTGAGCAATTAACCAAACTATCCCTCCTTTTTATTTTGGGGGAGTTTTCTGCCTCCATCCCTGGGGCAGAGATTTGCCACTTCCAAAGGATCTTGCTGCTCTGATCCCACTGGTTTAGCGAGGTGGAGCACTCCCTCATTCCCTACCAAATCCCTGCAGTGGAGAAAGTCACAGTTGAAGAACTTACCATCTTGAAGGGGAAAAAAATACGGTTGCATGACCTAGAGGAACCTATAAATCAAGTGAAGCTACAAAACTCATGATTATTTTCCATTTACCAAAATAAACTGCAAAATCAGACATCTTTGGTTATTCCCTACAGTTTCCATATGATTCTTATAAAATGCTTCATTTCATCGAAGGTAATGTTTATTTGTCCTAAGAGGCTTCCCTCTCCTCCTCACGGCCAGCTTCCCACTCCTCGTTTCTGGTTTTCTCATCAGAACTATGAATTCTGATCTTCTAGGTCTGTCCCCATTTCAGAGTCTCAGCTCTGTGATACAGATGGTCAAATGCCCTGTAAACCCTTCAAGTCTCTTCCCTCTAAATCAATACAGGGAAACAGGTTTGCAGTCTGGGTTTCCATACCTTCAGCTTCACTTTCCACAAAACCTCATTGCCAAAAGTCCCACTCTCTCTTGCCTCTACAATCTCCCCTTTTATTGACTTCCAGTCCCCAGATCCTCCTTCTCCTGGTTGTCCTGCAGAAGGAGTATGTCACAATGTGTACATGTTGGGAGCAGGACTCTCACCCACTAGAAAAGGAATATGAAATTGAATCACGTACAGAAATTGGGGTTGGGAGTAAAGGAAGAATCATTCTGCTATTCTTTACTCCCCTCAGCATTTCAAGTTTTAGAAAAAAATGTTTCCCCTAGTTCTGAGGTATTATTTGAGGCATAAACATATATTCCATTTTCATATGTTGAAAAGAGAATCCAGTGATTTAAAAGTTCAGAAGAGGGTCTTTCTCCTGGGACAGCAGCGGACAGTTTAAATAAGAGGTACAGTCAGTGTCTCCTGCCTTGAAGCTATGGGTGAGTTATTGGAAGGAAAGATAGAAAATGTCATAGAGAAAGGGGTTTATTGTCCCAGGAGAATATCCTCAGCTCAGAAAATAGTGGTTCCCACCCCAAATCACAGCCATGGGGTGAAATAGATGATGATGGGTCAGGAGGAAGGGGTCGTGCAGAAATCTTGGAGTTAGAGAATCCTGTATAACTAAAGTGTGGGCACCTGACCCTACATCTCAGCCTTTTGACCGTCCACCTGGTTGCTTTTAGGCACTCTCAGAACCAGCCTGGTGCCCAGATTTGTGGCAACTTGTGACCTAAAATGACACTATTATATTAGTGGAGAAAAATTACCCAGGCGGATATTGGTGCTTCTGGCATCTTGGTTTCAAGGAGTCTCCCTTTCTAGGTCCAGCATTTGGGTGAATTTGGAAGCGTCCCCCTTGTGGAGCCTCAGGGACAGGTGTGTGTTTGGGGACAACGGTTCCCCTGAACTGAACTGTTTTCTGAATCTTTCATCTTCAGTGTCCCATTTTTGCCTAGTTAATAATAAGGTGAAACATGTTTCAACTAAGAATGTCCCTCTGGCCCCAGGTTGTTTCCATCTACAGAGACATAGGCTGAGGGGCCACCAAAACTTTGGACTAGATGACTTTTATACTTCCCCCATGACCTTGCCAGACCAGCGCCATGACATTTGGGAAAACCTGGCAAGTGGAGGCGAAGCTCACAGCTGTGTCACCACCAGGGCCTGATGGGGACAGATGGGGTTGGAGGGGTGGATGTTGGAGAGAGTGGAGCTAAGTTGGGTGGAAAGAGCTGTTGAGAAAGGGTGACTGAGTCTGGGGCTGAATCTCTCCCCACATGCCGAGTGTAGAACTGAATGCCTGTGTTTAGAGGGGCAAAGAAAACTGGACACCAACATTTAGCTTCTATATCAATGGACTTCATTGTTTGAATATTTGCAACTATTACTCCATTTACAAATTTTGATTTCTTACAAAATTCTGCATTCCATATGGCTAGATCAATTCATTCTCCATTTTATGCCACGTGTTTATAAGTTGGTGTTTCCCCCAAATCACAAGTTGCCTAATTGTGTGTTGAAGGCTTCTTTTAGAGGCTCGCCCCGCTGCTCCTACATACTGATTTATTTCTGACATGAAATCGATCTCTAGTTCCATTCTGGTTTAAGATTGCTACAGCCTCCACGTGAGCGTTTTATGTTGACCAGGAAATAAGTGACCGCTGAAGACGTCCCTTCCTTCAGGACACTGAGGGGCTTTTGTGCAGTCTGGATCCTCACACGTGCCGGAGGGGTCGCTCTGTGAGTGAAGTATTTCTCAGGGTTTACACTTCTTCAGGCTGAATTATTTACAAGTACGCGTCGACGCTCCTCGGCTTGCTTTGGTATTTCACAGTTGTCACCTTTAGTGTTTCCTCTTCCACTGAGTTTCTCGCGCTCATCAGTCCTGGCGCTTGGCTGAATGCCCCTGCAGAGAGATTACAGGCCTCCTGGTGCTCCATGTGCAGTCTGCTCACGCTTAACAGTAAGTGTCAAAGAGGAACTAGGGGCTCGCCTCTGCTCAAGCCGCCTGGGTTCTTCAGGGTCGAGAGCTGGTGCTGCGGACACCTGCGCTGCGTTCACAGTCACTCGTGGGCACGCGGAGCCGCTGCCACGCGCGCGTGCCTGTCCTGACTGAGGGGGCCGATGCCTGAGCGCGTCCGCGTGGGTCACAGGCAGGGCCTTGATCGGGCGTGCCCTTCGGGGCGTCGCAGCGC